GAAAAATAAAAGACCCAGAATAGCAAAAACAATGCTAAGCAGGAAGTGTGAATCAGGCGGTATAGCGATACCAGACTTCAAACTATACTACAGAGCAATAGTAACAAAAACAGCATGGTACTGGTACCAAAACAGGCGGGTGGACCAATGGTACAGAATAGAGAACACAGAAACCAATCCACAAAACTACAACTACCTTATATTTGATAAAGGGGCTAAAAGCATGCAATGGAGGAAGGATAGCATCTTCAACAAATGGTGCTGGGAAAACTGGAAATCCATATGCAACAAAATGAAACTGAATCCCTTTCTCTCGCCATGCACAAAAGTTAACTCAAAATGGATCAAGGAGCTTGATATCAAATCAGAGACTCTGCGCCTGATAGAAGAAAAAGTTGGCTACGATCTACATACTGTGGGGTCGGGCTCCAAATTCCTCAATAGGACACCCATAGCACAAAAGTTAATAACTAGAATCAACAAATGGGACTTACTCAAACTAAAAAGTTTTTTCTCAGCAAAAGAAATAATAAGAGAGGTAAATAGAGAGCCTACATCCTGGGAACAAGTCTTTACTCCTCACACTTCAGATAGAGCCCTAATATCCAGAGTATACAAAGAACTCAAAAAATTAGACAATAAGAGAACAAACAACCCAATCAACAAATGGGCCAAGGACCTGAACAGACACTTCTCAGAGGAGGACATACAATCAATCAACAAGTACATGAAAAAATGCTCACCATCTCTAGCAGTCATAGAAATGCAAATCAAAACCACCCTAAGATACCATCTCACTCCAGTTAGATTGGCAGCCATTATGAAGTCAAACAACAACAAGTGCTGGCGAGGATGTGGGGAAAAGGGTACACGTGTACATTGCTGGTGGGACTGCAAATTGGTGCAGCCAATTTGGAAAGCAGTATGGAGATTTCTTGGAAAGCTGGGAATGGAGCCACCATTTGACCCAGCTATTCCCCTTCTTGGTCTATTCCCTAAAGACCTAAAAAGAGCATGCTACAGGGACACTGCTACATTGATGTTCATAGCAGCACAATTCACAATAGAAAGACTGTGGAACCAACCTAGATGCCCTTCAATAGATGAATGGATAAAAAAAAAATGCGGCATTTATACACAATGGAGTATTACTCTGCATTAAAAAATGACAAAATCATAGAATTTACAGGGAAATGGATGGCATTAGAGCAGATTATGCTAAGTGAAGCTAGCCAATCCCTAAAAAACAAATGCCAAATGTCTTCTTTGATATAAGGAGAGTAACTAAGAACAGAGTAGGGTCGAAGAGCATGAGAAGAAGATTAACATTAAACAGGGATGAGAGGTGGGAGGGAAAGGGAGAGAGAAGGGAAATTGCATGGAAATGGAAGGAGACCCTCAGAGTTATACAAAAGTACATACAAGAGGAAGTGAGGGGAAAGGGAAAAATAATACAAGGGGGACAAATGAATGTCAGTAGAGGGGGCAGAGAGAGAAGAGGCGAGGGGAGGGGAGGGGAGGGGGGATAGTAGAGGATAGGAAAGGCAGCAGAACACAACAGACACTAGTATGGCAATATGTAAATCAATGGATGTGTAACTGATGTGATTCTGCAATCTGTATATGGGGTAAAAATGGGAGCTCATAACCCACTTGAATCAAAGTGTGAAATATGATATATCAAGAATTATGTAATGTTTTGAACAGCCAACAATAAAAAATTTAAAAAAAAGAATATTATGAGTTAATATCACTCCTCTTTATTCTCTCTACCTTCCTGCATATGATTCTAAAATTCAACTTTTCATCTAATTTAACTCCCTAGTCTTCTCATTCACCTATCTGTGCTTCCAGTGTCTGTCATTTCCTTATTATTCCATTTACTAATTAATTCAATATATACTTGTTTATTTATTAATTTTATTTTTTATTATTTTGTAGTACTGGAGATTGGTTTCAAGGCATTCATTGCTCATTCTAGAAAAGCGCTTTACCACTGGGCTACATACCCAGCCATTTTTATTTTAACATTGAAACAGGATTTTCTTAAGTTTCCCAAGCTCCGTGATCCTCCTGTGTCAGTCTCTTGACAAGCTGGGATTACAGGCAAATGCCACTGCACCCAGTGATAAGTATTTATTGAATACTCTATCAGGAGCTTTCCTTCACAATAAGGAGAAAAAAATTAAGAAACAAGACTCATTTTTCTCTCTTCTTGGAGTTTATTTCTTTATGAGTTCTCCTGGAAGAACAATAACAAAACAAAAAAAAATAGGTTATGAGTTTCACAATTGAAATAAAGGAAGCATGCAATAAATTTGAGAATGTTTAAATATATTGTCAGTTGTACAAGAATTTAAAGGTAATGTGAAATTTAAATATGTGATACTCATAGGACATTACAATTTGGCTTCCAAGTTTTTAGGTACATCAGAATGACTGATTTATTTCTGATGGGTCTCAATATTGGGACATCAAAATGATTGTAGAAAATGAACAGAAAGCAACATTCTGTATTTGAAAGAAAGTAATATCAGTTTACTCAATATTGGACATATCTTTTTTTGCCAAATATATATCTTCAAATTTTACACCATTTAGGGTCAGTACATATGTTATTTATTGTGTAAGTAAATATAAATTTGATAAATAATACTTTAAAAAATTTAAAAAGGGATTAATTATAGCATTCAATGACATGAAATCCAATGAGTAAATGGAAGAAGAATCTCAAAGTCAAAATGTTTAAGTAAAATTATTAAATGAAGCAGGAGGGCTTAACACAAAATGTAAGTTCAATACATTTTAATATGCTTTTCAAAGACAGACTTTAGTCCACCTGGAAAAATAAAGATGGTTGGAATGCCATTTGGCAAGTACTCTTATTTCTGTTATTAAACACAGCTAAAAAGTTTCTATCATTAATTGTCATAAATCCTTCAATGTTCATTTTTATCTACTATCCCATAGATATCCAAACAATAAAATAATCATTCACATGATATTCTTATGTCCTTTAGATAATGGTACATAAAATCCTGCCAAATATTAGATCAGAATATATACTCCTAATTTCAATATGTAAAAATTATAATTATTTTAAATTAGTATTTTTCTTCCATTCTAAGGACAATAAATAGGATTTGTGAGTCTTTTAAGTTAGGATGTCAATGTGAAAAATAATAAAATTCAGCCAGACATGGTGGCTTACGACTATAATCCCAGCAGCTCCAAAGACTGAGGCTGGAGGATAGTGAGTTCAAAGCCAGCCTCAGAAAAGAGAGTTTCTAGGCAACTCAGTGAGACCCTGTATCTAAATGAAATACAAAATAGGGCTGGGGATGTGGCTTAGTGGCTGAGTGTACCTGAATTCAATCCCTGGAACACATCTCAGGGAAAAAAAAAAAAGGATAAAATTGCAATCTTTGAATCACAAAAGCTTTTACAACAGGAGGGTATCAGTAATGATATAAGGTTTTATGAAAATTATCCTTGGCTCTTAATATACTATAAATGATTTAACATTAGAGTTTTATATTTTGAACTTTTTGTTCACAAAAATTAAAAAAAAAAAAAAACAGCTCTAGAATACTACCTGTTATGGTTTGAATATGTCCCCTAAATTTCATGTGTTAGAAACTGAATGACCAAATTCATATGTTAATGGTATTTGGAGAAGCAAAATTTTAGAGGCAATTAGGATTAGATGAAGTCAAGAGAATGGGCTCCCATGATGACATCAGAATCTTCATGTGAAGAGGAAGAAAGATTTCAGCTAGACAGCTTGCTTTATCTTGTCATTTGATGTCTTCTACAATGTCATGATGATAAAGAAGACCCTCATCAGATGCCAGCAACATGCTCTTGTACTTTCTAGCCTCTAAAACTAAAATAAATAAATAAATAAATTTCTTATCTTTATGAATTTTCTAGTCTTGGGTATTTGGTTAAACTGATTAATGTACTGTCCTTCTTGGCAGGCATTTGTATATATAGATGACATTACTCCTCAAAGCTATGGATCTATGAAGAATAGCAGATGGGAGAACAAGGAAAGGAAACAATATACAAAAAAATTAATTGAAAAATTAAAAATAAGTAGAAAAAAGAAAGACTAGTAAAGTAGATTTTGATTAGTATATCTTTTTAAAGTAATTTCATAATGCATTAGATGGGAAAAAAAACTATTCTAGGATTCCTAAATAAAAGGAGTTGAAAATGAATCAACAAATTTGAAATGTCTTAAATTTTTTGTCTGTCCATATTTCATTTTATCATCTTCACTAAAGACACTGGCCTTGAAGTTCTCAGAACCATTTTTCAGCACTACCATAGATGCAGTTACATGTCCTCTAAAAGGCGGAAATAGAATGAATATTCAAAATGTGAAAACAATTTTTTTTCAAGAAATCTTTTTCAAGAATTCAAGATGAATTCAAGTACTCATAAAATCTTCTTTCATTATTTCTGTTATATCAATATATAACTTATGGTAGAAATTGCTTCCACAAATATTTTATGCTGACTTAACCATTAATTTTTCAACATATAAAACATTAGCTATATGTCAACCTACACTTCACATATACTATGAATAAATAGACACTCTACATATATTTCAATGTCATATATATGTATATATATAGATAAAATTTCATTTTAATCATGTTTATCTTTGGTATTTCAAAATATTATTAGTAATCTTTAATAAAAAATGACTCATGAAATCCACTTTATTGATGGGATAAGTATTTTCGAGAAAATATTTGAATTTATCTTTATTCCCTTCCTAAAAAAAACCTATTTTTATTTGATAGCAAATTTTATCATCTTGGAGATAAAAATTTCATATCAAAAGATAGTTTATTAACCTTACTTAAATAATTAATATTTTAAAAGTGAAATTATACATGTTTTGATGTTAAGTATTACCTTGAACCATAATATGATTAAATCTTTTGAGAAAATTCTATTAGGAACCATTTTCACCTTTTTTTTCCAGATACATCAGATAATGACAAAAAAAAGTCTTCATGATTTAATCTGATGAACTATGTAACAATCATATCATTTGTTTACTTTCCTAATAAAGTACTAGAACATACAAGGACAATGAGGATTTTGGGGTATTTGTTTATTTGTTTTGTTTTAAGCTGGAGTTCAAATAGTATAGAAAGTGAGCTGACAAAAAGAGAGAAAATTTCAAGCTTACACTTCAGGGAGTCTTAAACAGAAGTTAGATTCTTAGCTGTTTATAAGAGAATTGATAATTTACAAATATGGACTTAAGTGATTTACAAATTTTGCAATAGCTGGAAGAGCAGGCTCTAGATTGAACTTCCAAGAATAATTTTGATTTAACAAAATTTACTATCTGATTGTAATGAGGTATTAATTTCTAAGAAGATATTGCTTTATTCCCAAACTTTCATGGCTTACTCTATGTTTCTTATATTAGTATCTCCCAAAGAATGCATACAGTATACCTATCTGCAATATACCTTTGGGCACACTTGGGTCCAAACCAACTGAAAGCTCTGTTTATATCCTAGAAAGCTGGAGAATTTTATCATGATCTAGGTACATTTTTATAACCCAAATATTAATAGTCATTACAGGAATGGAATACACCAAAAAACTCTAATATGACACATGCTGATTCCAAACTCTAAAAAGAATTGTATAAAGTTCTTGTCATTTCAAGGCATCAATGTAAAACAGTTGATTATTCACTTTGAAGAAGTGATACTAAGAAGTCCCAGAAAGCTGCAGAATTTCCCAGACAATTCAGAGGGGTCCCACAGCATTAACATGTTCATGTGGTACTATCTAGTTCAGGTTTCAATGATGTGGGGCAACATGATGTTTCTTGAGTAATAATTAGGATACACAGGTAGAGAATTAATGCAATCCAGAGTGGCTGTTAACATCTTTGAATGAAGGCTCTCTATACTGTCCTTGCTGTGGAAATGCAATACAAAATGCTTCAAATTTTCTTAGTTTACTTTCCTGAGATAAATCATTTACAAAACCATTGGTTGTTTTCCAGATAATAGAGCTATTTTGATTTGTCCTATGAAATATCCAGTATTTAAAACATTATTTGTAATTGAAGTCACCGCCTATTTTTGCTTATAGCTGTGATTCTTCAAGATGAAGTTCTGATCAGAAAAATTCAAAAAGCATAATTAAATTGTGAGGTACAATATTTTTCTTATCTTAGCTCATTTCAAATATATTAGATGGGAATAAATACTGCTGTTCTTCTGAGTTTTTGTTTTCATAGTGAAGTGTACTTCCAAAAATTCCTCTTGGCCTTTGTAGTCAATTTGTTTTCTCAGTGAAAGCCTTATGCAATAATTTTAGATAAATAGTTAAAAATACATGCTAGAATGTAAAGCACCATCTATTAAAAATATGAGAAAGCAACAGAAAATTCATTCAGTTGTTCTGCATTTTTATAATAAAATGTGCAGTGGTATAGAACATGAAAAAACTGAAGAAAATAAATTATGAAAATTACACAGGAAAATCTTTCTAATTATATGATAGTCACTAGTCTTCTGGTTAAAAGTTTCAATATTCTTATTCCATAAAAAGTTTGAGATTGTTATAAGACTGATGTTTGCACAGGTATAAAATGAGAAGATAACTAAGCTTTGTCCTTGAATAAAAAATAGTTTTTGGGGCTGAGATTATGGCTCAGCAGTAGAGCGCTTGCCTAGCACTGGTGTGACCTGGGTTCGATTCTCAGCACCACATAAAAAATAAATAAATAAATAAAGGCATTGTGTTGTGTCCATCTACCAAAAAAAAAAAAAAAAAGTTTCTCTCTCTCTGTGTCTCTCTTTAAAACAAATAGTTTTTGGACAAAATTTTATTTAATTAAAATATTGATCTGAGATGCAAAATCCCACGTGAGTAAGAATGATACTTTTTTTTCCAGACAATCATCCATTTGAGAAAATAAAAATGAACTTTTCTGTAACTATTGTAGCTAAGCATGCTTTGCATGCTGAAAGAATCTTTAAAAATATTTTCCTACCATATTAAAAACCATTCCTATTTTTCTCTTACGTTCTGTGTTCTTTTTTTCTCTTTCCTCTTTTATTTTTTTCTAATTAATTAGATATTTGGAGGACATCATTTTGTATATATTATTGTTATTTTAAGCTAGAAATAGTAGTAGCTATGGATATTACAGCATTCTTTGTGTGATGTTTACTTCTAAAAGTTATAAATTTCATATTCAATTTTTAAATTTTTTTGTTGTATCAATCAACTGATCTTTAAATAATTGTAAGTAATAAAAGAGTATTTATGTTTTCTCATTACAAAGCTCTTCATTCCTTCTATAGATCCAAGCTTTTTTCAGTTTCTAAACTCCCTGAGAAAACTTTGCAAATAATAATACATTTTTCCACCTGAATTTGTCCTTCATCAAAATAAATGATATTGTATTTCCAAAGCATATCCTCCCACTATAACTAAACAAATATTGTTGCTTCTAAAATGTAATTGTTTACGTCTTGCACCTAGGTTGCCTTCTTGGTCCTTACAGTAAATCTAACCAGGATGCAAAACTCATTTATTCATTGTAACTTTTTCTAACCCTATTTTGCTTCTCGATCAAGTCTGCTTCCAAAATGAACATCATATTGTTTCTTCCTTAACATCAATGTTGGAAGTTTGTTTTTTATTATATTTTCTGACGACCTGCTCTTTTTTCAAGTACAAATACCACTGTATCTTTCTGTATGTCATTTATATTTGCTTATCCTGAGGCTTCTCATATCTTCTGACAATCTACAATCTCTTTCCTTAAGGCCCTGTATCATAAGAAAATGATGTAATAAGATAGATGGTTGGATACCTGTTGTAAGTTTGACAAAGTGTTCATTTTACATATTAAACCTTTAATTATTTATAATTCCTATTTGGTCTAAAGCTCTTAATGCTTCTTTCATTTGTATACCTTTATGAATTCAAATAACAAAAAAATCTTAATTACAAATAATCATTCCTGGAATGAAAATCAGTTTTTGGTTTAAGGAATAGCTTGAGGAGATTACTCCTATCTAATTAACCATCCCATGCTGAAACTGTTACAATTGGTTGGTTAATTTTGTTCACTTACAGCCAGTTGCCTTTGTATGAACCTTTGATCAGTAGCAGAAGCTAAAAGTCTAAGGCTCTTGATTTTGTGTGTGGTTTGGGGGCTGGCTTTAGTGGGCAACTGATTTTTGAAGCCTTTCTCCTCCTCAAAGAAGGTAATTATCCTTTTACAATAGTTTGCTATCAGTTATGGCCCTTTTCTATCTATGATTTTAAATTGTATGCTTCTGTGTCTATAATATTTTTTAAAACTTGTGGAAGTTAATTGTTTATACAAATCTTTCATTTGTGTCTACTATTGAATAATATAGTTGGAAAAAGATCAACAATAAAGTAATGGAATGAATGAAATTTTTAAAGATTTAAACTACTGTTTTTCCATGCATCAGACAGAATTCTGACTAAAACGAAAAAAGATATCTATATCTATCTATCTATCTATATATATATATATATATATATATAGATAGATAGATAGATAGATAGATAGATATAGATATAGATAGATATATATATCATCCAAAACTATATATATAGTTTTGGATGAGAATTTAGGAATGACTCTCTATTTGTATCAGAAAAAAATGAACATGAAATCAGGAGTGTTAGGCAAGCAGGATGTGGGGATAATAAAGATAGTAGAATGAAACAGACATTATTACTTTATGTATATATGTGACTGAATGACCAATAGGATTTTACAATATGTATACTTAGAAAAATGAGAAATTATATCTCATCTATGTATGATATATCAAAGTATATAAGTGCATTCTACTGTCATGTATAACTGATTAAAACAATGAAAAAAAAAAGAAAAAAAGAAATCAGGATTGCTTCTGTCTTGTCAAGTATTCTTTGTCTGCCATAGATATCAGAGAAGTCTAATTGTTACTTTTTCCTCCTTTTATTTAAAAAAGGCAATTAAATAGAAATGCACAAAATCTATGCAAGATGTTTGAGATAATTCTCAGTACTCCAAAAAATGTTAAACTTTATCTGTACCCATAATTTTATTTAACTACTATTGGTTTAATAAATAACACATATAGAATAGTGAGACATATGTTCTCACCTTAATCCTCTTAAATTGCATTTTCCTGTATTTCTACTCTGTACATGAAGATGAATTTCTACTCAGAGCTCAGTTCTTGGTAAATTGATTATAAACTAGAGAGAATGGCTATCTCCAAAAATCTTCTTGTACTTCTGAGATGATAAGAATTTTCTCTTGTATGTATAAATAGTTTTTGTGACTTCAACTTATTCTTATAATCATCATTATTTTAAGGTACACTAATGCTCTTTAGAGTAACCTTCTTCTAAACAAAAGCACAACTACAAAAAATTGTACACATTTTCCAACCATATAGTCACACAACCAGATTGCCAGCCAATAGCTTTGATAGCTCTAGAGGGGTCTTTTGATATAAAAAATCTATATAAAATTCCCTTTTTAAACAAAAGGGAACATAAAAAGGAGGAAATTTTGCCAGTCAGTTAGTTGACAAACTCCATATACTTGAAGTGTTCTAATGTGGGAACCCATTTCATTTCTCTTTTCAGATTGGCTGGTGAGTATGTTGTTGCAGGCATGGGACATATATCTACACACTACAGGGAAGCCAGAACTGCAGGATAGCAGTTGGGAGATGTAATGGGCATCACTCAGTTTCATGATATTTATTAAGCCTGGAAGGAAGATATAAATATAATAAGGAGGTTCCCAACAGTACACAATTTGCATAAATAACAAAGATTTTGAAAAAAAAAAGTCCTTCCCTTTGGTCTTATAGCTGTGAAATGTGTACATCTTTTCTTCAATATGGAAAATAAAGACAAAGAAAATGCTCAGGTTTTCAGCCAAAGAATTGACTGCTAATTTTGCCATCTTATTTAGAACCCCACCACTATTTCACATGAACAATGAGAAGCTGTACTTTACCCCTCCTCCTG